TTGTCTTTAGAGTTCTTAATCACAAAACCATCTTGCTAGTCCACATATACTTCTTCCTTAAGCACACCATTAAGAAAAGCAGACTTGACATCCAATTGATACAGCTTCCACCCCTTTTGAGCTACCAATGCAATAAGAGTTCTAATGGTGTATAATCTGGCAATAGGAGCAAAAGTTTCATTGAAGTCAATTCCATGCTTTTGTGCATAACCTTTGACCACCAGCCTAGCTTTGTGTTTCTGTATTGAACCATCAAGATTCAACTTAGTTTTATAAACCCATTTAACACCAATTATTGGCTTCTTCATTGGTCTATTTACCAATTCCCATGTCTCATTTTTATCAATTATCTCCGTTTCAACCTCCATAGCTTTCTGCCAAACTTTATCTTTTGGAGCTTCTTCATAATTTTCTGGCTCAATGATGCTCATATTGCATCTAGCATATATCTCAGCTATATCTCTTAGCTTCACAGGAGTAGAACTTGGTGATGCACTTTGTGAACTGGCACTAGTTGAACCTAAGCCACTTTCAATCTGAGATACTGTTGTAGGTGAACCTGTGACTTCATCCTCTTCTTCAGTGGTTCTAGGATTTTCCTCAAAACTTATAGGAACAGAAACATGCTCCACATCCAGTTTTCCCCAATCCCATAATGCATCTTCATCAAATATTACACTCCTAGAAACAACAATTTTGTGAGTTTGCAAGTTGTAAACTCTATAGCCCTTCTCACACTTACCATAACCAACAAAGATACACTTGGTTGCCGAATCATCCAATTTGAGCCTCAACTGACTAGGCATATGACAGTAACAAATAGAGCCAAATACCCTCAGGTGCTTAATTCTAGGCTTCCCACTAAATGCTTCAAATGGAGTTGAATCATTTAGAGCTCTTGTTGGACATCGGTTTTGAATGTAGACAGCCGTGTTCACTGCCTCTTCTCGTGCACCATTGCTTTACTCATTTCCACAATAATTCTAATTTTTTCCCTCAGCTACCCTATTTTGCTGAGGTGAATAGGCTACTGTTAACTGCCTTCCCAATCCTACATCCTCACAAAACTTCAAGAATTCAGTTGAGGTGTACTCCCCACCTCTGTCACTTCTAAGCCTTTTAATCTTGTATCCACTCTATAATTCCACCATGGCTTTGAATTTCTTGAATATGTTGAATACTTCAGACATGTGTTGCATGAAGTATACCCAACACATTCTTGTGCAATCATCAATGAAGGTTAGGAAGTATATGTTACCTCCAATGGTTGTGAATTGCATTGGTCCACACACATCTGAGTGTATGAGCTCTAGTGGCATGCTTGCTCTCCACACCTTCTCTTTATCGAATGCCTCTCTGTGTGATTTTCCCATTGCACAACCTTGACACACCTTCTCGAAGTTACCAATCTCTGGCAGTCCATAAACCAATTCCTTTTGTTGCAGTAACTTCAAGTTTTGAAGATTGAGGTGACCATATCTTCTGTGCCAACACCAAGTAGTTCCTTTGACTGTTGCCTTCATAGCTACTTCATTTGCATACTGAATGGAGAGAAGAAAACATATGTTTCCAGTCATTGGAACCTTAGTCACAAGATGTTTCAATGACTTGTCATCATATATCTCCACTATAGAATCACCAAAGAGCAAGAAATATCCATGCTCAATCATCTGTCCAACTGGCATGAGAAATAACTAACGCACAAATTAAACCCTATAAGTTATGCAATCGTAGTACGCGTAAGTAGGGATCGTTCTATTACGGGGATTAGGAGGGATGCTAACCAACACAAATTAAACTTATTAAACTGAAAACTAAGTTAAGGGAACAATGATTGGGGGGAATTTAGACAATTTAGACTAAAGTAATACTGACAGCAGCAAACAACTAAGTTGTGAATGAAATATGGATAAAGGGATAGCTAGAGGATTCCTCTCCACACATGGAACATATGCACACAAATCGATCTCCAGTTACTCTTTCTATAAAGTATGAATGACAACCCTAAATTAATTGTGAATGCACTAATTAACTCCCAGATTTTCCTAAGATCATTGAATTGGACTCAGCGACACAATCAAATTATCCTTATCAAGTTCCCTATATGAACAGCATGATAGAGATAGATATCAAAGATCATTAAGTTCTATGAAAATCATAAGTCTTGACAAGGCAATTGTAACTATGAAAAGCATTATACTCCTGCCAGGAATTTACTTAACGCAATCATGACTAGTGACTTTTACTACTTATGAATATAAGTTCATAACGATTAGGTGAAATTCCCTTATATTCTAGCATCAAATCCCTTCATACAAACTAAGTATGCATCCTTAATAAACATGCAAGAATAAGTCCTCAATAAAACAGAAAAGTAAATCATATTCATACTTTATGAAACCATAACTGGAAGTAATCAATTCATATAAAACATATGTCCATGGCTTCAAATTCACCTCTAACTAAGAAGAAATTCAGTCACACATGTTCATAATAATTGAAAAGCAATCTAAAATAAACATTTAAACTAATCAAGGGAAGAACTCTGAAAACCCCAATGGATGCAGCAGGTTCCGGCTCCAAGTTCTTCTTCTCTCTTTCTCCTTCTTGCTATGACACCCAAAAAAAACTCTCTTCTCCTGCGGCAACCCCTCCTTTATATATGTGGTAGATCTAAGGTAAAAGGGCCCAACAGAAACCCACGAAATTAGGGTTTTGTTTGGCAGATTTCTTTAGGAACAATGATAGGGCCCAGGCGCCACCTTTTTAGGAAAGATGTGCAGCCCCAATGCCTTCTTCTAAAACCAGGTTTTAGTTTCCTAATCTCAAATTAATCCCCCCTTTTCCTGGTGGAATTTAGGTAGAATAGGATTAGGATAAGGTAAAATAAAATAAAATCAATTAGAGTTTTTTACTTCCCAGAAGCTGATTCTTGAATTAATTTCCCCATCTTTTTAGCACATTCCTAGCCTCTTTGAACTTCAAAAACGTCCATCCATCTTGGCCCATGCATATGCTATCCATTTCACGTCCAAAACTGCTCTAAAATGCTCCAAAATGCCCTTTCTTGCCAATCTTGCCATCTGGACCTACAATAGTACGAAAATAAGCTAAATCACTCTAATAAATGGGAATTAACTAAGTAAATGCAAAGAAATAAGATAGCAAAGTTGCATAAATATTCTCCTATCACCAACACTTAGCAGATTCTCATCCAACCCTGGTACAAGCATGACTTCCTTTATATGCCTTGGTCCATATTTCGTTTCAATCATTAGAATGCCTTTACCAGTGGCTTGAACAAGATCTCCAGTTCCCATCTTCACTTTTGCAGTGACATTGGTGTCTATATCAATGAGCAGAGATTCATGTGAGGTCATGTGGTTGCTACAAGCACTATCCACATATCACACACTACTGTTCTTGATCGCAGAGGCAACATGACAAGCATAGAACATTGTCCCTTCTTCCTCCATGTGTTTTGCATAATGAGCTGCCTGAGGTGTCTTCCCACTGCAATCCTTTGTTGACCAAACCTTTCACACTTAAAGCATTTAGGTTTGCCTTTGAACCAACAAGGACCATAATGCAGTTTATCACAGATTTTACAAGGACCCTTTGCTCCTTCATTCTGATTTTCCTTTTTGAAAGTATTTCCAGACTTCCCCTCCCATTTCTTCTTGTTTTGTGATTTCCAATTCTTCTTGGACTTAGAACTCCTATCTTGTGCAACATTTGACTGCTCTCTGGGGTTCACACTTACGCTAAAGAAAGCCTTTTCTGTCAGTTTCTCAGTGTGCCTTTGCAACCGTTATTCATGGGATTTCAAAGAGCCAATAACCTCCTAAACTACTATAGTCTCTATGTCTTTAGTCTCCTCTATCACCTCTGCAATAGAATCATATTCTCTAGAAAAACTAATCAAAAGTTTATGTACGATTCTTTGATCAAAAATATCCTCTCCATAAGACTTCATTTGATTTATAAGCTCAAGCAATTTGGTTATATACCCAGATAGAGATTCATCATCTTGCATGCGAGTATATTCAAAATCCCTTCTAAGTGCTTGCAATTTTACAGATCGTACCTTCTTATCTCCTCAAAATTCCTGTTACAAAATCTCCCAAGCTGCTTTGGCAGATTCTTGTAGAGTGATTCTAGGAAAAATGTCATTAGAGACTGCACTCTGAATCAAACCCAACACCTTGGCGTTCTTTGCTACATTTTCCTTCAGTGCAAGCTTCTGAGCTGTAGTCAGAGCTTCACTATCCTCCTTCTTCACTAGTTGTTCAAACCCAGTTTCTACCATATCCCAAAGCTTGTTAGATTTGAAAATCGTACACATCTTGATTCTCCAAAAATCGTAGTTGTTGCCATTGAAAATGAAAGCACGAAGCTCACTCATTCTAAATCCAGCCATATGAGACCAAACCCACGAGATAGAGGTTATCTGCGTTGGATTTCCTCGATTCCGATTTCGATTTTACGACGCCCAAATGCAGAGTCGAACCTGGCTCTGATACCATGTTGAGATTTCTATATCAGGTTATGACTTTGGGAAGAAGAGGAATATAGAGAGGAAAATGAAAGGTTGCAAAGTCGAATAGAGACATTGAGGAGAAAAGAGAGAGAGAGTTTGTTAACTAGCACAAAACATAGTTGTGCGCTCTGATGCATTCTAATAGAAACATTCTCTTTTACAAGGCAGAGAATGTTATCTTAGCCATAAAAAATGTGCCAGCAATATAAGCTCAACACTTGGCACAAATCTAAGAGATATGAGTCTATAGATACACCATGAGATGTAATCTAAGCCTTACACTTGTCTAGCTAAAGGGTAAACCAGTAAAGAATTTACATTTCAACAATACTTGACACGTGTCTATAGATACTCATAGTTAACTTTTTGCTTTGTATTTTTGGAACCATGATTATATCTATAGACACATGTCAAGTGTTCAGAAGGGTGTTGATTTACCTTGAGCTAAAGTGGTGAGAAAAAATGCCCTATATTTCAACGGTACTGTGCTGCGATGATGAAAGCCCAAAAAAAACCAAAAACAAAGGCCCAAACGGTCTACTCTTACTTCGCACACCAATGTTTTGTGCTCTGAGCCTCTGAGTCCTGAGTGTCCGACCTCTGAAGAAAGAAAGACTTGTAGAGATGGGAGCCTTGATCGCTATGTTGGTGGTGTTTGGGGTGGTAGTACCTTTAGGCGCATCGAAAGAGCAGCTGAGCACTAGGGAATGTGAGAATCTTGGCTTCACAGGGCTGGCTTTGTGCTCGGATTGTAACAGTTTGGCTGAGTACGTTAAAGACCAAGGTAACCCATCAAAATTTCCTCTCTCCTTCTTCCTCAAGAACTAAATCCTGGTTCCATGTCTTTTCTGCATTTGTTTGTTTTAACTATTACTTGCTAGCTATCTTTGTAATCCCAATTTCCCGCACTTCATTTTTATTTTTTCTGTTGGTCGCTGCGTTATTTGTGGGTTATTGACGGGCTTTGAGGATTATGGTGTAAAATTGTTTTGCTTGATTTAAAATTGGAGCTTTTTGGGGTTTCAGAGACACCCATTTGCTGATACTACAGCTACAGGAGTCTCTTTGTTCTCTTATTAAGGGTATTTCATAGAAATTTAGGATGCATCATTGACTTTCATGGGAATTTGAGATCTTTAGAGGTGTCCATTTCTTGGAGTTGGCAACTTTGGCATTGCCAGATGTCAATTGTAGAAATTAGCACATACATATTAAGAGGATCAAGAACTATATGAGCCTTGAACTTGAAATATGTTTAGTACCAAGTAATATAAATGGAACTAGAACTACAAAGCTGGCAAGGAAATAACATTATTCAAAACACTAAGGAAACGAAATGAAGAAAACTTGTGAGGAGACAATGTAATTTTGATGAGAAACTTGAGGTCATTGTGAAGGCTGTGTGCGTTATATGACAAATCTATGGGCTAAATATAAGGTGAATGCAAGTGGTCTTTTAACTGTAACTTAACAGGTTAGGGGATGGAATATGAGAACCTTGAATATTACTTTCAGCATGATTATAATTTTATAATATACTGAAATCCTAGTTTTGATTGCAGAGTTGGTATCGGACTGTAGGAAGTGTTGCACTGAGGATTCTGATGATTCCATCAGCAAGGTATATGTTGAAGTTGAAATTATATTTTAATCTACCCGTATACTTTCGAGTCTGAAAGGTGTAATTAGAAATTTCCTTCCATTTTTATTTTTTTGGTTCAAAGTAACTCTAACCTGTAAAATGTGCATAGTTTTATTACATAGACATGGGCACATGGGTAGGGGGTGACGTATAAGTTAATATGTTCCATAAAATATGTCGGAACAAATTTCCACGAAGTTTATTAAATGACATGACTAACCTGCATCCAGAATGAAAAAGCTAAAGATAAATGGGATACTGTGTGGTGTCAGCCAAAGAGTGTGATTCTTAAGTTAGCATTTGGAAACTTTTTAATGTGTATTCACTTGAGTTCTGGTCATGTACGTTCTTGGATGACCAGCAGTTTGTTCTTTTGCCCTCAGTTTAATCTTGTTTTCATTATGCTGGGAAATTGGTGCTTAACGTGTGCCTTTAGGGTGGTACATGCCTGTTTGAAACTTCTGGCCTGCTGGCTCGCTCTAAAATATGCCTTTGTACGTATGGGAACTTTCATAATTATGGATTGTAATTCAATCTTTGCTGATCTGCACCATTTCTCTATAACCATTTTATAAATTCTCTTAGTAAAAAACTTCATATACTAGTACAATTAAACAAATTTTATTGAAATAAAAGATAATAATAATAAAAGTGTAGTATTAGAATTCTTTAATTCCACAATTTATGGTTCCATGAGAATTGCTATTTTCATGTCAGAACTATTTTGGATCAAAGAAATAGTGATAAAGTTTTCTTTTTGCAAGATAATTTTTTTAAAAACGTGTCAAGATTTGGTGGACAAGCACTATTGGAAAGTTGGGGCCACTTTGGATGTTTTGAGAATTTTAATCATGACTTATAGTATATTATAAAAATTATATTTATCGCTTCACATAACATAATTCTGCAAATTGTAATTACCATCCAAGACTTCAATCTACTGACCCTTTATTGAACAGAAAAGGAAATGCTTAATGTGACTGCAAATACAGGTTACCTATTCTGGTGCCATTCTGGAGGTCTGCATGAGGAAACTGGTATTCTATCCGGAAATCGTTGGCTTCATTGAAGAAGAGAAGGATCGGTTTCCTTCGGTCAAAGTTCAATACATTTTCAACTCTCCACCAAAGTTGATCTTGCTAGATGATGCAGATGAACACAAGGAAACAATAAGGTGAGCGTCTATTTGCCATTCACATAGGAGCCGTGGACATATGCCCTCCCATTTTCTTTCTCATGGTTTCTCATAGTTTGGACAGCCCCATTTGAGTTACATGCTTTTGTGTTTTTTATTGTTTTTGCATGATGATACCTTTATCCAACAATGAATGCTGCCTAAACCTGTGTGTAAATCTGGAATCTGGTAACAATAAGAATCTATAGCCATTGCTTAGGTTTTAGTAAGGAAGAATGATACCTAGTTTGGTTAGAATTTTAATCTCCATTTGTACCCTCTATGGGGAAAATTCAGTTTCCTACTTATTACAAATATCCTTTTTTATCTCTATCACAGGATTGACAATTGGAAGCGTGAACATATACTGCAGTTTCTGCAAGGGAAGGTAAAGCGTTCTTCAGCAATCTGAATGCTTGTAATCCTCTGTCACTGCCTTAATCTGTATCTTAACTGTCATGTATTTCTAAAGAACTGTGGTACTGGACAAATGAATCTTCTTCCTTTTTTGCTTGCTGTGTGTGCATTCTTGAATCTTGATACAATAAACTTGACATGACCTGACTCTGGCTTATTGCTTTAAGGGGTTGGGGGCAACTTTGCTCAAACTTAATTGGAATGCTTGCACCGCTTAAACATAGTTTGAATTTATTGGCAATATGGTAGTAGTAACCCCTTTTGACGAGAGAAAATACGAACGTTTGAAAATTTTAATTGTGTATTTATTCCATAGATGAGTATTAAGTTATTTTTCAAATGCATGTATATAGACTCAGAAGATTTCTTACAGTTGCACCGATAATTCTTACTTTATACGTAAATGGTGTGATGAATCTATAGGATTTGGATCTTCCAACATTAATATTATAGAGATCGCCCAAGGATGTCAGGCAATTGCATGATATTAGTTCTGTGTTAAAAGACATGCCCTTTAGACATGGTAGCTAAGTCTTGGTCTTATGGTGATTTTCTTGTATTATGCCAGTTATTGGATATCAAATTCCTCTCTCCTAATACAGGTTGTAGGGATGGATAAATAACCTCTCTTGTATGAAACTAAAACTTAGATATCCTGATTCTCTGCTTGTTTCTTCTGTGCTTGGATTTTCTTGACTTTCGTTCAAAACTTGCCTCATACGTCTTCTTTTGCTGAGGTACTTCCCACAAATCAAGTTTCTCTTCTTCTGGGATTTGAATCTAGTTCTTTCAAAATTTCCAATATTATTCTTCTTGTTCTTTTGATAGGACTCTATCTTGCAACCGTAGATATTAACCAAGAACAGAGAGAACCCAAAGAATGTTTCTGTATATTTCTCAACAATACGTACAATGGCTCCCCAAATTGGTAATAAAGCCACCGTCAAGGATACAACAGTAATTGTAACAGTACACATGGCTAACTAACTATCCAAAACAGTTTTGGCTCCAACTCCTAATTCCTATCATTACCCCTCCCTTTGAAGCTAAGTTTACAAGCATTGAAAACTTATTAGAACAAAAACAGAGTTGCTACAACAATTGCAACATGATTCATCTGGAATTGAAAGCAGCTTAAACCTAGGCAATGAATTCTGGAAATCTGGCCTGGAGGTCATGGTAGTCCTCCCACGTGGCATCTTCCAATGCACTAGGACATCCACCCCCGCAGCATTACCACATTTGACTAACTTCCTTTCCAAAATAGCCAGTGGCTCATCTTGCACAATACCATCTTCAGTAATTCGAGGTAATGTTAATGAAGGAGTCACGTGAGTTCCCAAATGCTTCTTCAAACAAGACACATGAAATACGGGGTGGATCTTACAACCAGTAGGCAATTGGAGTTTGTAAGCCACTGGTCCCAACTTCTCCAGTATCTCATAAGGTCCATAAAATTTGGGCAAAAGTTTGTGGTATGAGTGAGCAGCCAAGGACTGTAACCGATAAGGTACTAAACACAAATACACCATATCCCCAACCTGAAATTCCCTTTCGGAGTGATGTTTATCAGCTTAAGTCTTCATTCGATTCTGTGCCATAAGGAGATTAGATTTCAGCAAGGTCAACATTCTGTCTCTGGCAGCCAAGCTTCTGTCAACATTGGCGAATCTTGTAGTGCTTGGCTCATATGGGGTAACCATGGGTGGGGGCTGACCATAAACAACTTCAAATGGGGTTAACTTGGTTGATGTATGATAGGCTGTATTATAGCTAAATTCTGCCCAAGATAACCAAAGCAACCATTTTTTGGGCTGAGCAGCAGCAAAACACCTCAAATAGGTCTCCAAACACCGATTAACCACTTCAGTTTGGCCATCAGTCTGGGGATGATAACCAGAGCTCATCCGTAAAGCTACATCATGCAATTTGAAGAATTCTTTCCAGAAATCACTAACAAATACTGGATCCCTGTCGCAAACAATGGAGCTAGGCATACCATGTAACTTAAACACATGGTCCACAAAGAGCTGAGCAATGGTAGCAGCTGAATAAGGATGGGATAAAGCAATGAAATGGGCATACTTGCTCAGACGATCAACTACTACAAAAATGACAGATTTCCCTTGGCAAGGGGGTAAGCCAACAATAAAATCCATTGAGATATCAGTCCATACCTTATCCGGTATAGGCAAGGGTTGCAATAATCCAGCAGGAGTCATAGTTTCATACTTATGTTGTTGACAGATGTGGCATTCAGCTACCATTTTTTGCACATCATGTTTCATACCTGGCCAATAAAAACTCCGAGAAAGTCTTTGATAAGTCTTCAAGAACCCAGCATGACCAGC